ATAAAATCATGTTTCAATGGGTTTATAAATAGTATCTACTGTAGTAARATCCATGAGATCCCTGTCCTCTACTATCWATCCCTCCCTCCTACTCCTTATCCCTGTCTATCATCATCACGAGTTAGTCATCAATGACTTGACTTTTTTGTTTATATAAATTGTATGCTTATGTATGTATGTGTGAGTGATATATTAGTTAAAGGAAAAGAAAAAAGAGTCGGTATATATATATATATAATATTTTTTGTTGACTAAACTTTTTTTTAATATTAATATATATTTTCATTAGTATTATACASAAAAAAAMATTWCTTTTAGCTATACTTTAAGACTTAATATTTTTATAATTTTTGTTTATTTGCTTTGTAATCACTTTTTTGTTACTTAATTTTTTTTTCTCTCTCGCAATCCTATGATTTATACATTATTTACATTAGTATACCGTATATAATGTATAAATTAGCTATATTTTTTTGATGTATTTAATCAATTGATTATTAATTATTATTGTTAAAAGCTAGTTATAATAATACTAATAATAATGGTTATAATGATAATAATACAAATACTATTTGTATGATAATTATTTTATTGTTAACTATTGATTAATATTGATTTTATTACTAAATGTATCGTAAGTTATATATATATATATACAGTAATCTCATTAATGATGATAAAAAATTTTTTTGAGGGAAATAACAATTTTTTTAAAAATTTTATTTTGAAAATTTGATATTTTTATTTAGGTTTTTAAACGATAATTGGTTTTTTATGCACTATTATTACTATAATATTACTACTGTTTTTAGTTTAGTATTGTTGTATCAAATTTATGTTTTTTTTGTTAGTATTTTATTTCACACACAATTAAATTTTGTTGAACTGATTATTATTATTTTTTTGTTGTTGATGTGATCTCTATCTCTAACTAACAATTTGATGATGAGATTTGTATTATTATTATTAATAATTAATTGTTTTAGTATTACAACAATAATTTACAACTAYTTCGGCTATTGATGTCAATTGTAGTTTTAGTTTTTGTTTAAAAAACACAAAAATAAAATATAATTATTCAATACGTTGTTATAGTAGTAGTAGTAGTACTGTATAATAATGATGCTAACAGTTTGACATAAATTTAATTAAATATATTATTTTATAATTTTATTTGATTTGTTGACATATACTACTATTTTTTTGTTAAGTATATTAAAAGTAAATTATTAGTTAATTAGATAATAATTATTATAATATAATACAATAATATTATATTGGCAACAAAACTATTAGTGGTACACATGTTTTTTTCCTGTTTAGTTTCAACAAAAATATATATATATATAWATATATATATTTAACCACAAAAAACTACCGATGCTATCATTTATCTATAATTWAATTTTTAGATTAGTTTAATCTCTCTTTTTTTATCTAATCTTATTAGTATTACTGTATTAATATTATTATTATATAATTAAATTAATTAAATGTTTTATTTTTTTTATCTYTACATTCACCCAYCCATCCATACACCCACTCACTCACACAMACACACACCTAATTAAAACAGTGCAAAACATTTGGTCAGAGGAGAGCCGAACGTWTCGTACATATGTTCCCGATATTATAGGGCACCGGAGCTGATATTCGGTGCCACCGACTATACGACAATGATTGACGTCTGGTCAGCCGGCTGTGTATTAGCCGAACTRTTGCTCGGTCAGCCGATATTTCCGGGCGATTCGGGTGTCGATCAGTTGGTCGAGATTATCAAAGTGTTGGGCACACCGACCAAAGAGCAGATACGCGAAATGAATCGCAACTATACAGAGTTTAAGTTTCCCCAAATCAAAGCCCATCCCTGGCAAAAGGTTTTCCGTACGCGGACACCGCCCGAAGCTATTGAACTGGTATCGCGGCTGCTTGAATACACCATCGTCGAGGATAACGCCACTGCAGGCCTGTGCYCATCCGTTTTTCAATGAACTACGCGAACCGGGCACTCGGCTACCGATTAACAAAGACCTGCCGCCACTGTTCAACTTTACCGAACACGAACTGAAAATACAGCCCTCACTGGAGGGCATATTAATACCGCAGCACGTACGGTCGGGCGGCGKCGGCGGTCAATCGATTGGCGGTAATAGTGCCAGCGGTGGAGTAGGACAATCGACGTCGACAGCTGGTCCAAGTATGTCGTGCTCTATGACGGCCGCACAAGTGGCAGGCGGTGCCAGTGATCTCCAACAAGCAGTCTCCGGRTCGTCSGTATCGGCCGCTGTTATCACMGGCGGCGGCGGTGGTGGTGTCGGTGGCGATCTGTTAGTCGACACACAGCAGAGTAGTAGTAGTAGCGGTACCGGTGCCACTATTGTGGCCGCCCAGACATCACAACAATGATTAGTAATCTATTAGTTGTTTTTATTGTTTTGTTTCTCGTTTTTTTTTGTGTCATACAATTCACCCGTAATTTGAATGACAAGATTTAAATATATTATTATTATAAATATTGAAAAATTATTATTATTATTATTATTATTATTATAATATTATTATAAATATTTGATCCCTAAATAATAACATTAATGAAAACATTAAAAAAAACAGAGTTTATATAAAAATAATTATTATTATTATTATTATAAGATAACTGATTATAAATAACTAAGAAATTATTAATTAATTAATTAATTATTATTATTAAAACAATTTAGTACATAAAAAACCTCTTATATTTATATATATATATTATAAATATATTAAAATTATATATATATATATTATATCTATACATACATATATATAAATGAATTCATCGAAAAAAATTATTATTTACATCAAAACAAAACAAAAAACACTACAAAATTCATAAAAAAAATAATTTTTAATGTATTTATTTTTATTTTTTAAACAAACAAAAAAAAAAACTATTAGAGTTTTAATTTTTAAATATTATTTTTTATGAGAAAAATAATAATAATAATAATTTACACATAATTTGTTTCATACATATATATATATATTTTTCAACACATAAATAAACGAAACATTATTATTATTATTATTAATTTATTGTGTTTTTTAGACCCACAAAAAAACCATAACCAAACCGCAACTCAAACCCTAACCGTACGGTTATTCAAATTGTAATGTATGTGTGTGTGTACAGTATATACCCGTTAATATGGATATGTAATTGTTTTATACTATAATAATAATAATAATGACTACAATCTCTCTCTCTCTATCTACACATTTTGATGTATAAAAAAAATTTTTCAAACAAACAAAACTATTGTTAAATTAATACAATTAATAATAATTATATATTTAAATTATAAGCAATTATAATAAGCATTTTGTTGTTGATGTTGTTATGACACATACACTACACACACACAAACGATTTGTAATTATTATTATTATTAACGAATTTTTTTAATACATAAAAACAAGTAATTAAATAACTAATTAATAATTAATAGCTTTATAAATATTTATATATATATATATATATATATTTATCCTATCTCTCTCTCTCTCTCTCTCTCTCTCTCTCTCTCTCTCTCTCTCTCTCTCTCTCTCTCTCTCTCTCTAATGTAGTCTACTGTATATCTATTATACTATACCATCCATCCATCCATACATACAAAAAAAAACAACCACACATTTGTTGTAATAATAATTTTGAAAAAGCAAACAAACAATTTTTTTTTAAAAAAATTAGTCATTAAATTTTTATCGATTATCAAATTACTTATTTAATTTAAATCTATTGGTAATAATAATAATAGTAATCAAATTGTTTTTACCATACTCATTTTTTCAAACTAATTATTTTTGTTTGTTGTTGTTGTTGTTGTTGAACTATTATATATATATAAAAAATACAATTTAAAAAACTTTTTTAAATAAGATTAATAGTATCATTGTTTAACAAAAAAAAATATTAGATAWTTTACAAAATTAATTAAATTAATCGATTGATTATTACAAATTATAGATAACAAAAAAAATTGTTTTTTTCTCCAAATATGTGTATAAATTATATTAAATTAATTGATTGTTGATTATATACTGTATATATTGTATATATAACCAACAAACAATATTTTAAACCACTTATAGTTTTGTTTGTTTGTTTGTTTTTTTATTTAGTGAAACACCTTATATTAGGGTAAACCACACATAAATTTCTAAAAACTAATGTTGTAAAAAAAATTAATTGACAAAAAAAAACATTTTTGTATAAATTTTTCTATACATTACGTACTTTTAAAAAAAACACCTGAATATTATTATTATTAAAAAAAACAAAAACAATTAAAAACGTTTTAACAATTATTATATGACATATATATATATATATATATATATATATATATATATATATATATATATATATATATATTGTTTCAAATATATATATATATATATATATATATATATATATATATATTATATTATATTTTAATTAATTAATTAAATATTATCTTTATATATATATATATAAAAAAAACAAAAAAATTTTAGCTTAAAAAACCAATTGAACCAATTGTTTGTATAGTCGACCACTCACTACATTGAAAAATAAATAATAATAATTGTTTGTTTGTTTTTTTGAATGTATTTTTTGACTTTTTTGAAAAAAATTGTTTTGTTTTTTATTATTATTATTATTATTAGTAATTTTTGTTTTGTGAATTTTTAATTGATTGATAAATCTAATTATTTAAATATTATTGATTATATATATATATATATATATATATATATATATATGTACTGTACTACTGTAGATATATTGATCCATTAATTTGAATGATAAAAATTTTAATATTATTATTAAAATAATAATAATAAAATAAGTGTAAATAGCTTTTATAAAATAAAATAAATATTAATGTTATCCAAACCACATTGWTTTTTTAGAAATGATTTTATTTCTAGTGATTATATATTTAAAAAAAAAAAAATTAAAACGTATTTAAAAAATTTAAATTAATTAAATAACAAATAATTTATTATTATATAAGATATATTGAAAAAAAATTTAAATAACTAATAGTAAAATAATTTGTAAATTTTTTAAATTATATTTATTTTATTTACTATGAATTAGTATATTTAAAAAAAAAATTGTTTAGCATACTATGCAATATGTATTATCTAAATAATTTGTTATTGTGTTTTTAAACAAAATTATAACATAATTTTAAAAAAAAATAATTTTAACCCATAAATACATACAACTAATTAAACTACAGTAGATTTTAAGTGCTTTAAAAGTTACCACATTTAAACAGGGTAACTATAMGTGGGGGATGCCTACTGTGCTTTATATATATATATATATATATATATATTTATATATATTAAAATAATGTGTGTGTGTGTGTGTGTGTGTGTGTGTGTGTGTGTGTGTGTATGTGTTGTAATGAAAGTATCTCTAAGATTTTTTGAATGTCCTAAAAGATTGGTATCTCATAGATCAGGGAATGGTAGATAAAAAAACATTATAGATTATAAAATGTACTAATTATTAATATCTATGTGTGTGTGTGTATGTGTGCGRCAATATAATTTATATATATATATATATTAAATATAGTTTATCAAATAATAAATATTAATTACATGTATCTATAATAATAATAATATAATAATAATAATTATAAATGATATAAATTAAGATAATTATATGATAACATTTTTATTTTTATTTTTAATAAAAATATAATGTATATGTAATAAAAATTTATTAACAAAAATTTAGTATATAATTATTATTTTTAATATTAAATACACATTTAAAAAAAAAAAAATTATTATTACTATGATATTATATGATGGTATTCAAAAGTATCATAAATGAAATTTTAATTTTWTTAWACAACAAAAAAAACAATACAAAATAATACAGTATTATATTGTATTAGTTTAACATTTGTTTATCAAGTTTGTAATAATTAATAATTAAAAAAAATCATTTTTATTATTATATTTGTTTTTTCTGTTAAAAATTTACTGAATATATAAACAACAACAAAAAAAAAAAATCTTAATTTAAATATGAATAAACAAATTTCATTATCTTATAAATATTTAATAACAATAAGTCTATGTGTGTCCATGTTTATATCGGTTAGATATATAATTGATAAAATTATTAATTATTTTAATTATAAATAATTTTATTTTAATTATTATTATTATTATTACATTAATTTTTGTTATTGTTGTTAGAAATTACCAACTGGTTTATTAAGTGCATCGATGACCGATTTTCAACTAATATATGGCATAACATTAAAACAATTATCATTAGTATTAGTTGTTAATAACATTGTATCATTAATTGGATCATTAGGTAATGTTATATATATATATTGTATTTATATTTTTGTAAAAAAATAGTTTAGTTGATTTTAGATTATTTTATTAATATATACAATTATATTAGAGATAATAAAAAAATATAACAATAAATACATGTAATGAAAAATAGAGATTATTTTATTAACTAAATAATGTAACAATTGATGTAATTATTTCAAAAAATAGTTAGTTATATAATAAACATTTAGTATTAGTGTATATAAAAATTAATTATATCATAATTAACATAAAATGGTATTGATATTGAATTTTAGTTATAAAACTTATAATAATTTATAAGTAATAAAAACTATTAACATATTTAATTAAAATAAAAAAATAGTAATAATAKTTAGTTATATAATAAACAWATAGYATTACTATATATATAAAAATTAATTATATWATAATTAACATAAAATGGTATTGATATTGAATTTTAGTTATAAAACTTATAATAATTTAATAGTAGAAAAAAACTATTAACGCATTTAATTAATATAATTATTTTTTTTGAAACATATATATAGTTGGATTGGTATCGAGCTATTGTAATAAACAATTGGTTTGTATGGTCAGTTTGGTAGTATATGGCACCTGTAGTGCCTTGTTGGCCAGTCTACCCACATATGGTTGGCTAATGGCAGCCATGTCTGTGTCCGGTCTATTTCACGAAGGTTTCTATCTAATGAAAAACTTATGGCTACTGGAAATGTGGTCCAAACAGTCGGGTCCTTATCTGCAGGCATTAAATTTTGCCGAAAGTCTGGCCAATATTATGGGTCCAATGGTGGCCAAACCGTTTCTATCGGAGGCCACACAAAATGGCATCGAAATTGATAGTAGTATTGATACCGTATCCCGGATTTACATACCAATGATTATTACGGGATCGTTGGCAGTTGTGTTTGGCATATATATAGGCATACTTTACTGTGTCAAACGGTATGAGCCGAGACAAGTGGATAATAATACTAATAATAATAAAACATTAGATAAATCAATATCTATAATATCAAAACTACTGAACCGTTTACGCAATGAACTGATACCCAATGTCTACCAATTTACACAATTGTTGTTATGTTCAACAATATTGGCACTGTTTTATGTATT